CCTTTCTATCGCAAATGAAACAGCAGTATTCTCAATTATTGGGAAAGTTATTTTCTGAAGAATATTTCAAATGTGGATATATAAACTAGGCAATTAAATCTGTTGCTACAATAACTATATTGTCAATACACCATTCAAATTTCCATATGATTTTGACCAAAAGTTATTTAATAAAGTAAATGACAGTGATAAATTTGTCTAGACTAAGTGTGGGAAAATAAAATCACGAAAAAATATTACTTCCTTAAATTAGTAGAGCAGTAAACAGTTGACTTCTGGTAAGAAGGATATATTCGTGGATAATGTTCATGTACTTTAGGAACAGGCATTAAGTAGGAGGGGACTTCAAAATGTTTGCAAAGTGAGCAAAATGATAAACTTATTTGGGAAAAAAAAAAAGATTTTGAAATCCATTCATTGTGGTTTTCCATTCTGAAAGTCATGAAAATGAAGCCAGTGAAAAAGCTATGCATATATTGCAATTTTTTCACCAAAGTAAACTTGCCTTGAACAATTTGAAGTTCTATATATATTGAACATTTTGAACTCCTGTAAGTTCCGGATACATGGTAATTGTGGATTAGCTGTAGGTTGGTCATGGGAAGCAGAAACCATAGATACCACAAATCTAACTGGTCTCTGGTTTTTGTTTTTACAAGTATCAGGGGAATTGTGGGACTGGGCAAAAGTATGGTTATTTTATTTTTAACATTAATTTCATAAGTGATGTTTATGACTCATTATTTGAAAAACTATTATATAAATATTGTCAAAGAATTTCAAGGGCTAATTCAGGGCATGTGATATGGTTCATTCAAAAGAAATATTTCTCTATTATTTAAAAAAGAAAAAATGAGGGGGTACATTAAAATTGCATTAAAGTGTTCACTGGAGTCTCTTAAACAAGGAGGCATTTCAGTAATGGAACATGGCAGTATACTTAATACTTATTCTCCCACGGATCTTACTGATATTTCATGAAAGCACAGTGAATTATAACCCACCCCAGTACTCCAAATGCTAGAACTAATTTGATTTTCCTCTTACCTACCTCTCCCCTGATTTTCCAAAAGCATTTCCCTCTTTGTGCACTATCTGAAAAATTCTCAGTTAAGGGCTGCAGCTTTCTAGCTCTTTCCCTGCATCCTAATGACCACAAGAAAAGACCTAATTGAGTACTTGATAAGACAGAATGTTTGGATACAGAAAATGGATATGTATGTTTACTTTAAGATGCTGTTATGGTAATAAAGAGTCACTGGGGTCCCAAAATAACATTCATATTTCAACTTATACCAGGTAGACACTGGAATAAAACATATGTATTTTATGGTACTGAATAGCATTATCTTTGGACACCCTACTTTTTTTCAAAGTATTTCCTTGAACCCAATGAATTCAAAGCATACTTCAAAAAACAGTCTTCTGCATTTTCTGAGATTACTTTCTAATAAGGCATGATATTCCTGTCAAATTTACTTCTAAATCTTTAGCAATCATATCACCAAAAAATGTAGCAGAAAGAAAATAATTTTACAGATTTAAAACCCGAAATCTATCAGTGAACTACTTTGAGCGAATTTCTCAGGTCAAGAAAGGAATATAGTCTTTAAATGCCTCATAAGGTCACATCCACAATTTGTAGTGCAGTTGAAGTAAATCCATGTGACAACTCTTAACAGCCACTAACCTTCTTCTGCCCTCGGGGTGGTGTGTGCTGTCTTCATTGCATATCTTGGATAGTTGGGATAGCAAAGGCCCTCAGAGGCATGTCAGACTTAGGAAATATTAACAATGGCTCACACACAAATTTCAAGTTGTAACTGAGAACAATGAATAAATTTATATTCCAAATGTGATAGGAGGTAGAAATTATTTTGAAATAAATTGAGGGATTGACAGTGGTCACCAAGGAATAAAAATTATAATATGAAATTGTCATTAAAGTTGGCATTCTTAAGTTATCAGTTCTTATTTTACACATGTTAGTATTTTAAAAGGTTCATAGAGAGGCAGAGTTAAAATATATATTTAATTTGGGGCAAAAATCTTGAAAATTGTGATTAGTTTTTTCATGACATGCATTTCTGTAAAGTTTTTGAAGCTGTCTCTATTCAGGGATTCAAAAAACTTTTGCACCAAAATAAATTTGCCTTCAAGTTCCATTTTCCATGAACTTTTTGAATTAGCCTCATAATATAGGACTTTTAAAAATTTAGTCTGATATTTAAATGAGTCTGATTCATATCAAGTTTAATTTTTTAAAGAATGATGGTGCTATTAAAGCCTAATTGCAAATTTATTGCAATAATAACTACACAATGTTATTTGCCTCTTGTTTTGATGGCATAACTACTATCATTACTTACACCCATAAAGGAAATCATATCACCCTATGAGAACCTTTATCAGTTTCTGAAACAGCTGCAAGCATCCCTTTTTGGAACACTTTTCTTTCAGATGACATGCGTATTTTGAGCAACCTACTTTGCACTAAAAACTACTGATTGGTATTTGGTAACTCATGGGTTGACTTCACTGTATAGGCATCTGGAGAGTAATGGAAATCAATTTCAATACAAAATTGTTACTTTTCATTAAAGTACAAAGGGATTCTGTGAGTTCTGATAACCTTACCAATTGTAACATAATTAAGAATATAACATATTCGAGTGATGCTCTTTATAATGGAGCAGCAAAAACAATTCAACAGAAAAGATATTGGCAAAATAAGTGAAATTGTTCCTTGACAGTCAAGACAAGGGCAGCTCAAGTTGTCCCTTCTCAAAGTGTCAATTTCTCTTCTACAGATTTTGTTTTAGGTAATCTATTAGTTCTCACAGATCGGGGGTAACATATAGTATTTGTCCCTTTGGGACTGGCTGATTTCACTTAGTTTGATGTTTTTCAGATTCATCCATTTTTTTGCAAATGACCAGATTTATTTTTTTTACCACTGTGTAGTATTCCATAGTGTACATATCCAATAATTTCTTTATCTAGTCTTCAGTTGATAGGCATTTAGGTTGATTCCAGATCTTAGCTATTGTGATTTAAGCAACAGTAAACATCTTGAGGAACAGTTCTGGGTTTCTTTTTTAATTTTTTTTCTTCATACTATTTGTTGAACTCTTTACTTAACATAGAGTTAATCATGTGTATAAGGTCAACTGAGGATAGGTCTCAGTAAAAAATGAGAGAGAATAAGAGAGTGATTAGGAAGTCTGTAACTGTATAGCTGTATAGTTCTGCATACATTGCTACAGACTTACTTCTAAGGGTACAGTTTAAAAACTTGTCATGGGACTCCATATCATATTAAGTTGGGTGGTAAAAATGCCATCTTAATTGTTAAAGTGATCATATTAAGTATTAAAGTGAACACACAGATAGGATTAAGTGTTCAAGTGATCATATAAATAGGAACAAGTGTCTGGTAATAATAATAGAGTTAAAAAGGAGAAAATGTTCAACATGGGAAGCAGTCCACACAGCAGACTCATAGAATGACAATCACTTTAAGTAACATTCTGACCCTTAAGGCTTCCTGGTCTGGTCGAAAAGCCCATAAGAGCATTTCAGGATTGGAAAGCCAAGACACTGTGGCAAAAAATGTTCTACATGAAGGATCTCTGTGAGTGTGACCTCAGCAGAAAGAAGTGTCCATCAAAAAAGGTTGTACTTTTCTCTAAAGGGAGGAGAGAACTTCCACTTTGCTTATGGCCTTGTCTAAATACTGACAGAGTTTGTGGACTCAAAAGGCTGCCATAGCCTAAGCTACTCACGTAAAGAGCCTTGGGTGGTCACTGACATTATACATAAAAGTGTTAATTGCTAAATTAACAACAGGAGTCACTGTGCACTAACTCCCCATGTAGGACCTCTGTCCTCAATGAGTTGTATTATGAGAGTTAACTGTAAAACTAAGTTGGCAAACAGTTTTTCTTTTGGTGTGTGCATGTGTGTGCAAATTGTTGAAATCTTAGTATAGAGTGGGTCTTCTGTGTACAAAGTTAATTGAAATGAATCTTGACAGAGAATGGGACTGGGAAGGGAGAGGGAGGAGGAGGAGAGGAGGGAATATGGGAGGATGGGAATGGTGGAAAGAATAACTATATTCCTAAAGTTGTAATTATGAAATTTTATTCCTTAAAAAGTAAATTAAATAAAGAAAAAAAAAAAAAAAAGAAAGTTCTAGGGCTAGAGGAGAGACCTAATGAGGCTTGTACAGAACGTTCTTAGTAACAGCCAGAGTCCTACATTTGGTTCCGGGGCATAGCTTGTATCAAATCAATCCTTCTGCCAAAATTATTTATAAACCCTGTGCAAAAATGTGACGAACAATTCTTTGAAGGGAATGGATATTGTTAAATGAAGATCCTAGGATGCCATTGTTTTGAATTAAGATCCTGTATTGGCCCCAACTGACTAGTCTAAAAATCAAAATGGAGTCACTTGACGCTAAAGTTTCATAACACCAGACTGAAATGAAATTGCTTATCTGATGAGAAATCAGGAATAGAGAAATAACAGCCAAATTACCTAAAGCAGCCAGTTTCAGTTGGGATTAGAGTGAAGTTCCCACTACCTTAACCTTTCACAAATACACATAAACACACACACACACAAACACAACCTGAAGTAACCTGATGCTAACCAGTGAGTTAATTTCCCATTGTTTGGTCTCTTTGTCCCACCTTAAAAGGAAAGTAATTTTGAAATAGCCAATCCACTTTCTGTTTTTGTTTCTGCTTTCTTCAGTCCTTCTCTTTAAATGTTCATTGAAACACTTATTTCATGGAATAAAGTGTTACTTGATTCCGGAATTGAAAATAAAGCCAATTAAGTTAAAGAAAAACAAAATAAATGAAAATGCTTGCATCTTCTACAATTGAAGGATAATATTTTGGATTCTGAATAAGGTGCTTGTATCAGCCTGCAAAAAGTAAAGGTAGAAGAGGCTTTGTGGCACCTGAGAGAAGTTTGATTTGCCTACTCACCCACAGGAGACATTTCTGGAACACTGGCAACGTATGGTCCATCCAAAAACCGTGGCTCATTGTCATTAATGTCCTGAACTTTGATGATGAACTCTGATTCAGGCTCCAGAGGCTTCCTGGTTTCGATATCCACAGCCTGAGCACGAAGGGTGTAGAAAGGTTTTTCTTCTCTATCCAGGCTCCTTATTGCATGAATATCCCCAGTGGTTTCATCAATGGTAAAAACTGTGCCAGCACCATCTCCTGAGAGGGTATATTTAACAGTGCCCTCTCCCTTGTCCAAGTCAGAATGGAGCTTTAGAGAGAGACAGAGAGAGAGAGAGAGAGAGAGAGAGTAAGCTATTAATAAGACATTGCCATATTAAAAAGCATGCTTTATGTATAATCGCTTTATTCAGAAATGTTCAATTAAAACCTTAATGTTTCTTTTTCCTGTTTGCTTCCTCCAACTCCTGATGACACAACTTTTAAGTATACATGAAGTTTGACAAACATGCACTGTTGATACCTACATACACCCTATATATGTCAGACATTCCACCATTCATCTTTTTTTATTTTTTAATTGATTTTTTAATTTATTTGAAAGACAGAGCTGCAGACAGAGGCAGAGAGAGGGAGATTTTCCATCTACTGGTTCACTACCCAAATGGCTGCAATGCCCATGACTGGGCCAGGCTGAAGCCAGGAGCCAGGAGCTTCCTCTGTGTCTCCCACATGGGTGGCAGGAGCCCAAGTACTTGGGCCATCTTTGGCTCCTTTCTCAAGAGCTTTAGCAGAAAGCTGGACTGAAAGTAGAGCAGCCAGGTCTTGAATCAGTACCCATATGGGGTGCCAGCAGCTGCTTAATTGGCTATAACACAATGCTGGCCCTTACCGCCCACCTTTTGATTGTTTTAATCTACTACTTTTAATCAAATAGATTGTTGACATTTCCATCATTCTATTCATCTTTTCTCAGTCCATCCTATTTTTTTAATGTGTTAGAAAAATCCATACAAAAGTACAATCCCCAAGTTCATCAATAGGCGTAAAAACAACTAATTAAACATTTAATACTTTTGTACTGCTTATGAGTTAAAATTTCATAAAATAGTACGTATAAACCTTAAGTATTTAATTTAAATAATTATTGTATAAAATAAATTAGCTGATAAATAATCATATGCATTACAAATGAACTGAAGACAGTGGTCTATTATCTGAATCCAGGGAGAGAAAAATTAAAAGAACTCAGAAAACATGGAGTCTTTTTTTATTTTAAAGCAAAGACAAGGTCCGGTCCATCAAAATGTTTTTAGTTATGTGTGGTACAAAATCTCATTTTAACACACTGACTTTGAATTTACTATCCAATACTTACCAAATGATTGATATATAATTATTGATTATTCTTTCAGATTAACAGAACAATGGCTTGTTCTAATTCATTCTGCACAGAAAAATTATTCTTTAGAATATAAAATTGAAGGTCGGCGCCGCGGCTCACTAGGCTAATCTTCCGCCTAGCGGCGCCGGCACACCGGGTTCTAGTCCCGGTCGGGGCGCCGGATTCTGTCCCGGTTGCCCCTCTTCCAGGCCAGCCCTCTGCTGTGGCCAGGGAGTGCAGTGGAGGATGGCCAAGGTGCTTGGGCCCTGCACCCCATGGGAGACCAGGAAAAGCACCTGGCTCCTGGCTCCTGCCATCGGATCAGCGCGGTGCGCCGGCCGCATCGCGCTGGCCGCGGCGGCCATTGGAGGGTGAACCAACGGCAAAGGAAGACCTTTCTCTCTGTCTCTCTCTCTGTCACTGTCCACTCTGCCTGTCAAAAAAAAAAAAAAAAAAAGAATATAAAATTGAAACTTAGCTACTTCTTTTGAAATTCAACACATTTATATTTCACTATATTATAGTATGGAAGATACACATGAGTAACAAGAAAAGGATCAAAGAGAAGAGAAATTATAGCTGTGATTCTATAAGTAAGTGGTGCCCAAAATGTAGTCTAAGAAAAAACTGAAAACAGACATAGTACTGGATATCTATAAATTATATGAAAGTAATATATTTACTTGAAATATTAAAATAAATACATAATTTTTATAATACTATGCATTCTTATAAATATGCATGTAAGTAACATAAATATATAATAACATGTGTTCTTAGGAAAAATATACTTTACTTTTCATTCAGAATCTGATCACAAATGCCTTAAACTGATTTTGCTCATTTGGATACAAATATCTATCTTCAGTGTCCACATTTTTATACTTAAAAGTTCATTCCAGGCAGCAGATCAACAGGAAAATGTTAAACTTTAATGGTATCCATAATCATTTGGGTTATGCCTTAAAATTGGGTAACAAGCAATGCTCTCTTGCAAAAATTTGGTTAAGAATCAGTTATTAATTTTTTAATATCTCAACATACTACAAAAAGCTTTAGGGACTGATTTTAAGCTTAGCAGTTAAAACTGCCGTTGAGATACCTGCGGCCCATCTGAATGCCTGGCTTGGAGTTCAGCTCTGATCTTGATTCCTGCTTCCTGCTAATACACAGTCTGGGAACCAGCAGGTGATGGCTATCACACTTGGGTCCCCCCACACATGAGGGATATCTAGATAGAGCTTCTGGCTCCTGGCTTCAGCCTATCACAGCTTTCACTATTACAGGGATTTGGAGAGTGAACCATGGGATGGGAGATTCTTTCTCTCTCTGTCTCCCCTTCTCTGTCTATGCCTCTCTCTGTATCAAATACAATAAAACAATAAAATAGTAAATATATTTACATATATAAAGAGCCTTTAAAATATTTCAAATCATCTATACATCGTTTTACAAGTAAACTTTCAGTCCATTAGTATTAGTAAATTCAAAACACAAATAGATTGAATATAAGATGAAGTGTGGCTACATCTTTGCTGTTAAACTCAGCACTCTGGATTAGGTTCAGTTAATTAATATTACCCTTAAAATCAATGATACTAAAATAATTTTTTTATTTTGTGCATTTCTATTGATTTAAAAATTTAAAGTAAATGTGTGTAAGTGTAAGCATTAGTATTTATACCCAATTAAATAGAATAATTTAAAAATAGGGCAAAAATAAGAGGGTATACAATTTTATATTTCTTTAAAAGTTGCTATGTATTTTACTTAAGTATAAGGAAAATTGCTATAAATGAGAGGAGGAGGCTTTTCCCCCTAATTTTCTTACACACTACTGTGAAGCATAAGAAATTTGAAGCATAAAATCAAGTTGCTGATAAATGTTCTTTGAACTTAAGAATTTCAAATTACAAATTTCAACCGTACTATTAAAGATATTCAACACAGTATGGATTGCTTTTGCTTTCAGATTTATCTGAATATATGAGGCAGGCGGAAGCTCAATGCAAAAGAAATTACTTTATAATCTGAATTCATTTTGCCAACGGCTTAAAAGATGTGGCAATATTGTGGAATCCGAGTAAAATTGTTAAGTGGGTTTTTACAATATGCCAAGTAGAGGCACACAAAAAAAATCTTCATTTAGCCAAAACCAGACCTATTTTCTTTTCAAAGTGACCTAAGAATAAAAAGCAAATGTGTGTTTAGGTCTTTTCAAGATCCTAACTAAATTCAATTTTCCTTTGTTCCTCAATCTTCTATATTTTATTTTTAATTTCAAAAATAGTTTTGCAGAGTTTGAAGCTTCAGGAGAAATGGGTAAAAAATGTTAATTTTTTTCAACTTTTATTTAATAAATATAAATTTACAAAGTACAACTTTTGGATTGTAGTGGTTTTTCCTCCATAACCTCCATCCTACCTGCAATCATCCCATCTCCCAATCTCTCTCCCATCCCATTCTTCATCAAGAATAATTTTCAATTATCTTTATATACAGAAGATCAACTTAGTATATACTAAGTAAAGATTTCAACAGTTGAACCCACACAGATACATAAAGTATAAAGTACTGTTTGAGCAGTAGTTTTACCGTTAGTTCGCATAGTACAACACATTAAGGACAGAGAAGTTGATAAGTGCAAAATACTTGAGAGGGTTACATTTTTTATAGCAGTTCATCACATCATAATATATGTGCCTTAAAGATAATCACAAACAATATTTTACATCGATAGGCAACATTTAAAATAAGTTATTCTTTGTCAATAGAGTCAAGCATTTTGGGTGATTAAAGTGTAGATTTTTTCTAATATTAATTCTGACATCAAATAACTGATAGATAATTTAATATACATTAAAAAGTTTCCTTGTTCAAAAGTAAAAATAATTCAAATGCAGAATGGTAAAGGAAAGTGAAAATCACCATATTCTTATCTAGACATAACTTTGCTCAGTTTAATACTTTTAGTTATGTAAATTTATCTTTATAAAAGAAGGAATATATGTGAATCATTTGATATACATTTATATATACTATTTCTCTGATTATATGTACTGTGTACATGATATAAAAATGAATTTTCAATGGAAAATACGTAATCAGTTTCTGTACGACTTAGAATTCTACAATTTGTTTACATCTGCATTATTCGCATTCAGTGAAGTTTAATGATTCAATGGGAACTGCCAATCCATTCATAAACATTGTAGTAAGTACATGTGTGATTATGTGTATGTGTTTCTGCTTTGTCTTCTATTCATTTCCTTAAAATAAAATGCAGTTCATAGTTATGAAGACCCAAATGGCAATACTTTTCTTTTCTTTTTTTTTTTCTTTGACAGGCAGAGTTAGACAGTGCAAGAGACAGACGGAGAGAAAAGTCCTCCTTTCGTTGGTTCACCCCCCGAAGTGGCCGCTATGGCCAGCGCGTTGCTGATCCAAAGCCAGGAGCCAGGTGCTTCCTCCTGGTCTCCCATGGGGTGCAGGGCCCAAGCACCTGGGCCATCCTCCACTGCACTCCTGGGCCACAGCAGAGAGCTGGACTGGAAGAGGAGCAACTGGGACAGAATCCAGCACCCCAACCAGGACTAGAATCTGCGGTGCTGGCGCCACAGGCGGAGGATTAGCCTAGTGAGCTGCAGCACTGGCCAAATGGCAATACTTTTCATACATCTAAAGGGTGTTGAATCTTGAATGATTTCAGGAATTTGTCTCTATAAATGAAGTTGCTTTCTTAATCTTTCAGCGATGAAATTCAGGTTTTCCTTACATTGTGAAGCTAGTTGTTAGTCTCATTTCCCTAAGGATTGAAGGAAAACTACTAATGAATGAACACATACTCTGTTGCATCTTCGGGTGTTGCTCACTGTAAGAAATCACATATTATTTTACACAGTTCCTTCAAGCTCCATATACAGAAA